CAGGTGTAATTTCATTGTTAGCGCTTCTGGAAATGCGCTGGGGGGTAAAGGGTTAATAATCAACTATTCGTGATTTTTGAAGTTGAAAACTAGTCAGTTTTGACATTTTTCTCAGCGATTAGATTTGAAGCTATTGATACATATTTATGTGACATACGAGACGACTTGCATAAGAATACGCTTGCGAAATAATATTTTCAAGTGCTTTAACTGTTAGTTGTACGATAGAAGTCGATGCTAGAGACGATATTTGTTTAGAATAGACTATCCTAGACTGTTTGTGATGACGTGGAAATAAAATTTTATTATTGGAATCATTGGCGTCGTTATCACCAGTTGGACATTTAATAGAATTTAGAAATGATACCTTTTTACGGGTGTGGGTGTGGGTGTCGACGAGATCTTAATGTGTACCAAATGAGATCACATCAACAACCACACCCATACTCACACAAACACCCTCAATACATTTACTGTTGGTAGAACAGACAAGATGGTGGTTAAAGCTGGTAGAACTGAATAAATGATTGATGGAAATCGTTGAACTTGCTTATTAATTTTTCTCGTTCCTTTTTGAGTAGTTTAATGAGATTATGAGCCGATGATTCAAGTCCCAGTAAAAGTGCAATCGTTCATCGGTTAACGTAATGCACGAATGCTTTTTTAGATCATTTAATTGATCGGATTTAAGTTGGAGTATAGTACCCAGTAAAAAATTGTTAATTATATGAGATTCTATGAGATTACCATCGGAGTTTTGCGCAATAAAATCAAAATTATAATCGATTGAAATCTTCCAAATCAAAGATAATTTGATTTTAATGAAAAATAATCTTTTAAATCGATTATAATTTTGATTTTATTGCACAACAATCCGATGATAATCTCGTAGAATCTCATATAATTTGACAATTTTTCATTGGGCAGTAACATCTTTACATCCAAGAAATGAATCAACTACATTGCATTCTTAAAAAGCAAGCAATTCTGTGACTCGTTTTCCAGAAATTTGACGAATTAAATCGTAAAACGCATCATCACAAAGATTCATGATATTTGAAGGTAGTGTTTTTGTATCAATTTGTGAATATTTCGGGGTAGGATATATTAAAAATAGCGGAATTAATAAAACGAACAGTATGTGGGTGAGTTTGTGTGAAAAGATGGAAATAAAGCGAAAACAAAAAGAGAAAGAGATGTTTATATTTTTCGTTCTGAATTCTTGTGTCACATGAGCACATGAATACATGAACACACAAGAAACAGAGAAAAGAAAAATACCGACTTAGATTATTTATCGACTGTCTATTATTCATCGCGATGGACCGGGATATATGTATATTATATCAGATGATATTTATTATGATTATACAATACTTTCTATACTGATAACTATTTAAATGACAACCAATTTCATTGTCTTGGATTAAAAGCAATCTATTCTAAGTCATTGCTAAAGTTTGCTATTGATTGCCAATGATTGTCAATGATTGCCAAATATTGCTTTGATTGCAATCAGTTTTTTCCCCCTTGAGAAAAATACTGATTTGTATTTGAGGGTGTGGGAGTGGGTGTGGAATTTAGTCTTGTCTTTATCCACACCCACACCCTTGTTCAAGCGAAGCCCAGCTATTTAAACTCTTTAACTACTTCTTATTTCTTGCCATTCATAAAAATATTGATTATTGGATTTTGCACTTGTGGGTGAAAAATCTGTGCTACTGTTCTAGATACATTAACTGGTTGTCTCCATTTTTAATGCGATGCGAAGCAGAAGCATTTCTGTAGTCCGTCGCGAGTTTTTTTTAATGCGATGCGAAGCAGGAAGCATTTCTGTTATGCGTCGCGAGTTTTTAATGAGATGCGAAGCAGAAGCAGTTCTGTAGTCCGTCGCGAGTTTTTTTTTTAATGCGATGCGAAGCAG